GAGTTCGAGAGCAAATACTTCGAGTACAATGGCGTGCGGCTCCCCCCCTTCTGCCGGGGCAAGATGGAGGAGATCGCCAATTTCCCGGTGAGGGACAGTGATGTCTGGATTGTCACCTATCCCAAATCAGGTACAGACTGGTGCTCTCCGAGCGGCCTTCCCGGCCCCGCCTCTGACTGCCCCGTGCGTGGGGAGGGCGCCCGGGGGGGCAAGGAAGGGGCGCCCGAGTTAGCCATGGCAGGTTTGTGAGTCCCCTGGGCACAGCGGAGGGGGCTGCCTCTTTCCCCGTTGAACCTGGGGGCTTGGGCTTTGACCAAGTTCCAGGCTCTGGTCCCTCCCTATGGCGTCTCTAACTGGGTAACATACGGGATAACCCAGCCTGAGGTGAGCACCATACCAAGCAGGAGCCATGCTATTTTATATCGGGTTGCCTCGCCTTAGCCGGCTCTGCACCGCAGAAGATGTGCACTCATGAGCCTACCTACATAAAGTACCTTGTATTGAATTGGGCATTGTCAACGTGTTGCACAAAGGTATGTAATGCAACAACAACTAAATGCTCAATTATATACGGAATTGTTTTGGCAATGGCTGTGGTGCTCAGTCAGCCTGTTAGAGACAAGAATTTGCTTTAGGATAGGACCTTTGATAGTCTAGGTGGATTTGAAATCACTTTGGAAAGCAATACATTAGGTCCTGGGATGATGGATTGCCCTCCTTCAAACATTCATTGACATCCATCAAAACCCATTGAAATTAAGGGGAGCTGTGGCCAGTGCACTTTACTACTGGGTTGGGGAGAGTGATTGGGGAATATATGTCCCCTTTCCATGGGTTATTTGACTGCATAGAAAGTAAGGGACCAGTTACTGCTACCTTTCTTTTTGGAGCACCTTACTCCATTGACTCCAGCTGGACTGCAGGAGAAAGATACTAGTCAGTGAAAGCAAGTGTATCATAATCTGGCCCAAAAGAAATATATAACCTAGGGTACATGTTGAAGCAGCTGTAGTGACAGCACTCCATCACCACTCTCATTATGTTACAAGCCAGAGTATTCAGTGAGGACATGCGCATGGAGCTGTTTGGATAGAATAAGAGAAAAATTATCTTTATTAATATTATATAAGTAGGTGTTTTTGCAGTAAACATGTCCTTCAGCTGTTTCAGTTTTAGTCTAGTATCTATGTTTTTAACAGTATGCTATTTTATTATTCTCTCCTTTTTCAAACAAGTGCATAGAATGATTAATATGGATACAGTGCTGCTGCCAAAAAGGCAGACAATATGGTAGCTTCATAACCCACTTGATAAAACTGGAAACAAACAGAAATGGATGGACTCTTTAATCACATTGGTGAATGACTTTTCCCCTGGTAATAAGATGATCTCTTTCTGGCAAATCCAAAGTCCATTGTACTGAGATAACAGATGTTAGCTCTTTCTGTACAATAGCAAAATCATGTTGTTTTACATGATGGGTAAAAAGATTACTGAGTGATTCCTTTCATTTGCCTATATATTTTTTCAACGTGTTTTTATGCTTCTCCAGATTCTCTTGATGTACCAGTGTAAAAAACCACAGAGTTCCATAATGAAAAATCCTGTTATCGTCCACTGGACTTCTAAGTGTCTTTTGCAGCTGCTGTTTCTTTATAGTTAACTAATAATGAGTCTTTTAATGATTCTGACCATTGTTTAGCAGATGTTTGCACTGTAGACAGACCAGTGGGCCAAAAATGCTAGGATTAGCAGCTGTCAGTGATTGCTTTTTAAGCTGTCTCTTTAACAATCTGTGACTTGCAGAAAGCACTAAAAGTTCTACTTAATTATTTCAGCTTATTAAGGTTTCAGTTTTGTATGGTGTTACTGTTTCTGAATCTAAAGCAGTTCATTAGAAAACCCCATGTTGATTTATTTGGGTGAGACTTAAAATAAGCTTTACTACCCTGTGTCGCCCCATAATGCATATGAGAACAATATAAGGCGTCATGAGATAACTGGTTAGTCCCCAGAACTTTAGGACCATGGAATCATAAGTAGTTATGTTTAGTAACCCAACTCACAATTATCATTATTGTTTTTAGAAGTAGTACCATTGTAGAGGCCCCAGTGAGAGCAGGGCCCCTTTGTGCTAAGTGTCATGTATACACAATGCCTTACTCTTACAGCATTTCACCTGCAGATCTTAAAGCACTTTACAAAGGAGATCAATATCATTATGTCCATTTTCACAGATTGGGAAACTGAGGCAGTGAGTGGCGAAGGAACTGGAATTGCCTATTTATGAGTATAAATTCAATTTTTTGGATATAGCGGAAACTTGGTGGAATGATTCCCATTATTGGAATGGTAAAATCTATGGTCATAACCTAGATAGGAAGCACTGTGTGGGCAAATGAGGGAGTGGCATTCTTTGTCAACAGTGGCACTACCTGTGTTTGAATCACTAATAACCAGAAGAAAATGAAAAAGTGACTTGCCCAAAGCAGAAATGGGGCTAGAACCCAGACCTTCTGACTTCCAATCCATACTACCACTTTCCCTCTTGCCATAAAAAGCATTGATAAAGACCTCACTGGTAATTAAAGCTGGAGCCCTGCAAATCTGTGGATTTGTGCTCTGTATCCATGATTAATTTTTGCGGCTATTGGATTAGATGCAGATACTACTAAAGGACTCTATTAGAGTGCCTGCCCCCTCTGTCCTGCCAGGTGCTGACT